GTGGCAGAAGCAGCCACAAGAGACTGTACCTGCATTATTAGTCCCTTGTATGTGTCCTAATAATCGCTGGAAAGTGCCGAATGCACGACCACCCTGCTGTGGTCGTGTGCTTCCCCTGTATAGAGGGAAACAATGTTGCCAGAGAGGTAATTGGGTTCGTGGGTGGCCGCCGTTCGCATAAAAATCACGTGGCGGCGGCCATCTTAACTGCCGAACAGCGGTGCCTGGTCGTCGAGCGCCTGGAACTAAAACTGGGCGCTCGACTACCCAGACACCGCTCAGACCTCCAGGACCACGGAACTGCCCGATTCAAACTGCCGAACGGCCCGCCGTTCGGTAGGATGAATCCCCCAGACTAGGGGATTCATCCGAACCTAAGATTAGAGCCGGATGGCTGAACATTCGGTACTTTCAGTTCAGTGTAATAGACCGACCGCAGGGCCAGAATCCATGGAGCTGTTTTCGGCTACCAAATCCCTGCGGTCGGTCAAATCTTTGAATGTCTGTAACTCCCGAACCCCTGGTCTGATCTGGGTGAAATTTGAGTATGTTGCTCACCAGGGGACCCCTCATTTGTCACCGTACCCCCTGTATTTAGGGGACATCCAGAAATGGGGGAAAACTCTGTTCCCACTAATGAGCTTAACTGTTAATCTAAGGGGAGGAGAGGGAGAGGAGGTAACCACGATGTGATTGGATATGTTAAGTTACCTCCCTTGCATGGGAAAAAGTCATAAAAGCAAATGTGTGAATAAACCTGGCAGTTGACCTCCAAGCTATGTGTCGTCTAGTTCTTGGAGGGAAGGGATTGTAACTACGCTACCTGTTTTGTACCTGTCTTGGATTGCTGTTCCTGTCTACCAGTGGAGCTACCTTGGATAATACCTCTACTCCGCTACAGGGGGCGTTATACAGAGACAGAGAGCGTTATACAGAGACAGGGAGCGTTATACAGAGACAGAGCGTTATACAGAGACAGGGAGCGTTATACGGAGACAGGGAGCGTTATACGGAGACAGGGGGCGTTATACGGAGACAGAGCGTTGTACAGAGACAGGGAGCGTTATACAGAGACAGAGCGTTATACAGAGACAGGGAGCGTTATACAGAGACAG